GGGACATGGGAATACGGGGAGGGGGAGGGACGCGCGGAGACGGGGGACACAGAGGGGACACGGAGGGATGTGGGGACACAGAGGGGCATGAAGGGACACAGAGGGAGACACAGAAGGGCATAAAGGGACATGGAGGGCAACACAGAAGGACTTGGAGGGACACCGAGGGACGTGGGGACACAGGGACATGCGGAAGGACAAAAGGACACACAAAGGGACATGGAGTGACACAGATGTGGGAACACGGACACAAAGTGACACGCAGGGACACACAGAGGGACATGCAGAGACACATGGACATAGAGCAACACAGATGGACATGGGGTGGGGAGGGACATAAAGGGACACGGATGGGCACAGGGACAGACATGGGGCCATGGAGGGACACAGGTGATGTGGGGACACAGATGGACACGAGACACAGGACGACACAGACATGGGGACAGACAGAAGGACACAGGCAGACATGGGGACAGGCAGACGGAGACAGCCTGACGTGGGGTCACACGGAGAGACAGACGTGGGGACATGGGGGGCGGGGCACACAGAGGGATGTGGGGGGATGGACCCCAGCATGTGCATGAGGCCAGGGACACCCAGACAGAGGGATGGGGGGACAGAGGGACACCCGGGGGGACAGAGCCCTGCCACACACCTTCCCCTGCTGCCACACAGGCGGTGCCACCGAGCTGGAGCCGGCCGGTGCCAGGAGCCCAACCCTGGCGGTGCCGGTGAGCCGGGACGCGGAGCTGGATGGCAAGGAGCAAGCGCCTGGCGGTGCCGGGGAGCCAGGGAGCCAAATCCCGGTGGTGCCGGGGCGCCGGATGTCAGAGAGCCACACCCTGTCTATGTTGGTGCACCTGATCCTGGCAGCGCTGGATGTCCACAAGTCAAATGCTGGTAGTGCCGGATTGCTAGATCCTGGCAGTGCTGGATGTCAGAGCCAAATCCCAGCGATGCCGGAGCACCAGATCCCGGTGGTGCCAGACGTCAGAGAGCCAAATCCCAGCGATGCCGGAGCACCGGATCCCGGTGGTGCCAGACGTCAGAGCGCCAAACCGCAGTGGTGCCAGATACCGGAGAGCCAAACCCCGTCTATATCGGAGCACCGGATCCCAGCAGCACATCAGAGTGCCAAACTCCAGCCAATGCCGGAGCGCCGGATCCCAGCACTGCCAGATTATCATGGAGCCAAACCCCGCTGGCGCCGCTCTCTCCCTCACTCCCAATCCGTAGGCGAACGGATAACAAGAGGCGCCGCGTTTTTCCTACCGGCGCGGATCCCGGGATAAAAAAGCGGCCAGATCTTTTCGGTGAAGGTGTCGGTGAAGGTGTAAATGTGGGAGCGATCGGTGACGTTGTAAAAAGCCACTTTCCCGGCTTCGTAGTCCACGAAGACCCCGACCCGCTTGGGTTTCACCCGCACCGTCAGTGGGGTGAAGGGGGTGGTGGTGGCCGCGTATTTATCGCCGTTCCAGAGCCGTACCCGCCAATATCCCGTCTCCGGTAGCGGCGTTAATTCCCCTTTCCGACTCACCGAATCCTTACAAACGCCGAGAGCCCAGTGGGTTTTATCGCCGACTTCCACCTCCCAGTAATGACGACCAGAGGTAAAACCCTGCGCCGCCAAAACGCAGGGATAAATGGTGAAACGCCGTGGGGTATCGGGTAAATCCCGGGATCGAACTTCCACGAAACGAACGCTTTTCCGATCTTCTGATAAAACCAGGTTGGGATGCGCCGTGTCCGGATCCAGTGTCACCTCGCCTGGATGGTAACACCAACATGTGGGGGATTTAGGGGATGGGGAGCGCGGTGGAGGGGTCCCGGCCGCGACACAGGGAGGGGTTTCCTCACCGATGAGGCGCCGGGTGATTTTCCGGAGGGTGAAATATTGCCGGGGGAAACTGCAGAAGTTTTTCTCCAGCTCGATGGGGACGGAAGCCGGTTCTTCCACCGGTGCCGCCGCCGCTTCGCACCTGCCGGCAGCCCCGGGGGGGGGGGGGGGGCGCCGGCC